TCAACTCCCCTCTTCTCCAGGTAAGGCGCGCTAGAATATTTAGCGCACCTTCCTACTCGGCCCCTTTTTTACGGCCAACGAACTGCCCCCAGTTCGCTGACCAGAGGCCATGGGAGCCAGAAGAGCTAGTGCCAATAAACGGAAAGGCTCCCAGCCCCCATCAGCGAACCTGGTCATAGGAACACCATTACTAACACATTGTGACATTCTAATTTATTAAGTAGATATTTAATTTCATTCACGGTTAAATAATTTAATTGTAACGTATTTAATAACTTTCATTGAAAATCATGTAAAACCAGGAGGGTTTCCATATCTTCGTTTTAATTCACTCACAGTTATCGATTGAATCGATTAATTATTTTACGTTGCCCTTAATGTTCATGTTAAGTTAGACACAGTTTTAACATACCTCATTTTCTAGAATTTGAATTGAGCGGATTCATATTTTTAGTTCACGTTGAGCAAATTGTAACGCATTTTAACCCATATCAATTTGCTTCTTTGATCCTGTGACAAAAAAAAAACTGTTGGCTTGAAAGAATTTTCAGAAAAGCAATAAAATAACCTTTTAATTGAGGTATATATATAGCAGCAGAACCATCGCCTGCGCGTAAAATCCTCCCTTTCTTCTTTGTAAACGGTTAAATCTGCGTTCAAAGAGCTTTACTAGCGCATGAAATTACAGTGCCTACCACCGTAAAGAATATAACCCACATATGAAAATTACAAGCTAAGTACGACTATATTATTTTCATTGAAACAATGTATCGTTTGAATAATAAACATACTTTGAAACATGAGCGAACTAGTATCACTAATGATTAATTAATTAAATTACCAAAAGCTACCTTTTTGACGCTATTACCGTTCGTAGCTGAAATGGAAAATGAGTCGTTAATAATCCTTACTACCTGCTTAATTTTTGCTAAACCAATGGCTGGTTATTTTCATTAAATGTTGCTAACGTTTAGATCATTAATTAATCGAGTAAAAATTGCTACAATTTTATAATTTTACCTCATCGTTATATTTTAACCTACTTTAACGGTTCCGTACCCAAAGGGTAAAACTGGACCCTATTACTAAGACTCCGTTATCTGTCTGTCTGTCCGTCTGTCACCAGGCTGTATCTCATGAACCGTGATAGTTAGACAGTTGACCTTTTCACAGAAGTATATATTGTTATGGAGGCAACAGTCTTTCTGTTTCCTCCATAACAATATATACTAAAAAACAAAATAAAAAAAATGTTTAAGTGTGGGTTTCCATTCAACAGACACGAGTTTTTATACAGTTTTAATAGATAATGGTACGGAACTCTTCGTGACGCGCACGTGGCCGGTTTTTTTTCCTATTCGGATTTGATTGTAGCGTCCCTCCTATTTACAAAACTTTCCCTAGGCTGCGATTATACAAAATAAAAACGGCGATTCCTTGTTAGATTCTTAGACCAATCGCTGTAGTTCGAAAGACATGTGGTAGGGGCCACGCATTAATCTACACTGTTGCAGGAATGGGCAGATCAGTCCGTGTAAGTACCACGTCCACACAGAACACCGGCGTAGAGTGGAAGTGTTATACTAATTCGTTTCGTCTGGTGACCTTATAACGTGTGGCAACGCATATGCAACCGATGGGAGTTGCAAATTTCAATCAGCGGCGGTTATCACTTAACATTAGATACGCCTGCTCGTTTGCGATCTTTTCATAAAAAATATACCTAAAAATTATTCTTATGTATGGATTCCTCTCTGTTGTATTAAAATTCGAATTGTCCAAAACATTTGTGGCTATGGCTATAAATAATAACTTATAGCCATAGATAGCTACAAATGTTTTTTGTGACTGAAGAATTATTTTGAAGAAAGATTTGAAATGTAGACAGTGTTTTGTAATAAAATTTAATTGGTAAATTTTATATAAAATTCATTTTTACACAAAACATACATGCAACTATTTCATGATAGCTTTTTGTACATGATACGTACTCGAACTATCATACAAATTTTGCTAGATATAGCTTGGCTTTCCTTACATACTGTTTTAACTTCTCTTAACTGTTCGTAAAAAAGCCTCAATTTTTTATAAATTTTAAATAAACTTGGCCTAACAATCGATTGAGAAAAGAAATAATTTGAGGATAAGATTATATTTAATTACGTTATATTCTCATTACAAAAAAAACTATTCAATATAATAATGTATTATTTATTAATCCGTTTGAATGATTGGGAAACGCATGATCACAAAGACATTTAAATTCATATTTCTTTATTACATTTGGTGCACAGAACAGCAAACAGTATGTGGGGGAGCGATTAACGTGTATCGGGTATGTAAATTTGATATGAGCCCTTTTCAAGAGAGAAGGGATATTAGTTTAAAATTATATCGTGAGCCCTATACAAGCGTGAAATGGAGTATACTTTATACTCTGAGCCCGTCTCAAGCTAGTCGGTATTAATTAATAACAAAGCAATCTGGCATTATCTCTGGCTTATACGGCGACTAGTGAATATTTATCTATCCAAGATTCACCTAAAATAATCAAGTTACAAAATAAATACAACGTAAATAGAGTCCTACCGAACATGACAATCACAATAATATATTATACGGCTATTTGTTACATTTAGAAAGATCCTAAAGAAAGATCAATAATTTATCTTGGTCACGTAATTATGTTATATGATTTATTCATGTAACGGGGCAGAAATATATATAATTATATATGCAAAGGAGGGAATAGTAATAATTGCAATAAACTTAACTTAATCACTGAGTAAGGGCAACTTATACACACTGTCCTCCAAATGTATAATTATGTACACTACATGCTTCGACTATTAAGATCATTAAAAAATATTTATTTGTTAATATTTAACAAAATACAGAGCAAACAGAACGAGTTTGATGAGTTCAGATTAACAATAATAAAAAACGGAAGGTTTCCGTACCATCTTAAAAATGACAAAAAAATCATGTCTGTTGTATGCGAGCCCCCACTTATGTTTTTATTGTTATAGCGGAAACAGAAATACATCATCTGTGAAAATTTCAACTGTTTAATAATAACGGTTTATGAGATACAGCCTGACAGACGGACGGACAGACACACAGACAGCAGGCAGCGGTGTCTTAGTAATAGGGTCCGTTTTACACTTTGGGTACGGAACACTAATAAAAAATGTTAGATATTTGTTTAACAAAATAATATTGTTTGTCCATCAGCGCCCTCTGCTTAAATTATTCTTATTTATGTCTATGATTATGAATTTGGTGTTGTCTATTGATTTCGAACTACAGCGTTTTTACAGTGTTTTTTAATAAAAAGAAAACACCATGAGTGCAACATTTAAAACTTGGTACCGGAATAATTCGTTTCACCCTGATCGTGCCCGCGGAGGCAATCATTCAGCTGAAATCTGAAGCGTGTGACGGACGCGGATTTAAATTAACTGCCTATTTCCAACGACAATGTTGCAGAGAGCGTTTCAGCGCTGGCGAGTTTTATTTATAATTAAAATGGTCCGTGAAAATTTCGTTTGGTTCGTTGATCGCATGCTATTTCATTATTACGCTGTTAAAGAGTATACATTGTCCCATAAAAGACTTTTGGACAGAATTACTAATTCTCCGCTATCTACATGAGGGTAGAATAATTAATATCTGTTCCTGGTATTTATATTATGAAAATTATAAAATTTTGAAAATTCTTATTTTTATGGACACACATAAAATTTGCAAGCTTATTTTTATTTCTTTAAACAAATCACACAATTATGCCACTGCTTCGCATGTTTTAAGGAAAATAATATGAAGATAAGCTAAAATAATATGGTCTGATAAATTTAAGGTCCGTTTGTTTAGTATTGTAAATATACAGTTTTGATAAAACTATGATTTTTTAATATAGTTATTTTTCTAGTGCCATATCTATGCCATTAGAAAAATAACTACATACAGAAAAATAACTATATTGTTTTAATACACAAAATGACTTTTATTTTAATAACTGTGGTAGGGCCATAAATTTAATAACGGCAGTAACCGGAGCCCACTTTATTAAAAGGTTGCCATCAGGTAAAACGCCTGCTCACTTGCCACCTTGAGAACGTACTGTTGAAAATTTGAGGGAACTTAGTATATTCAAAATGTTTATTTACGTCATAATGTCATTAGTAAAACTTAAAACATTAGACTGGACGCCAATATATATATATATATATATATATTGGGATTTGGAAAATGTAGCATATATTTTAAGGGGAGAATGTAAGGGTAGAACTCCTACTAAGGTTTGAATCCCCCGATAGTATGAATTTTCGACTCGTTGCTTATTCTTATGTTTCATTTTATATAAATAAATAAATATAAATATTTTAGGATACATTTTTACAAAACGTTATCTTGTCCTATCTTTATAATTTCTATTGATAGATATTTAAATTCAATATTTTTTTTGTTTCAGATAATGTAAGCTGTCTTTTATAAAGTACATGCCTTAAGGCAATATGAGAATCAAGAGGGGTGTGGACGTAAGGCTAATCGCCTTATGTACGACTTGCATACTCCTTCCGGCGATAGCCTGCCCATCGCAGTGTGTTTGTAAATGGAAAAATGGAAAGCGATACGTCGAGTGTATAGAAAAAGATTTAAAAGCAATACCCTATTCATTGGATTCAGAAACTCAAGTTTTAGATTTCACTGGAAACGATTTACAAATCCTACAAAAGGAGACGTTTCACAAACTTGGACTATTGGACCTGCAAAAAATATACATGCAGAGATGTCGCTTACAGAAGATTGACAATCATGCCTTTAAAGGTCTCGCTAATTTGGTGGAGCTCGATCTATCTAATAACTACCTGACTGTGATCCCCTCTCCAAATTTCATCTTTTTCCCGACTCTGATGAGACTGTCTTTAAACAATAATCCCATAACAAATATTAGAACGCATTGTTTTCAACATTTGTCCTATTTAAATACGTTGGAAATGATTGGATGTAAAATTGAAAATGTAGAAATAGAGGCCTTTGCAGGACTGAAGCACCTAGAATGGCTGCGGCTAAATGGAAACAGACTTTCAAATATCCAAGGTGATAACATTTTTCCTGATACTCTCAGAGGTATTGATCTTTATAATAATAACTGGAATTGTGACTGTAATATAAGAGACTTACATAATTGGCTATTAAATTTTAATATGCCCCACATCATAGAACCGGTTTGTTCCAGCCCAGAACGTTTGAAGAACCGTACGATTACAAGCGTTGCAAAATTTGATTTGGCTTGCTTACCAAAATTAGTTCCTACTACCATGTTCTTAGAGACTATTCCGGGTAACAATATTACTCTAGAATGTATAGTATACGCAGTGCCAGAAGCTAAAATAAATTGGTTGTATCAAGGGCAAATAATACGTAATTATTCAACATATTCATCAGATCCCCATCACGTATTCTATGTCGAAACTGGAAACGAAGATAAGAAAAGCGAACTATTCATTTATAATATTGGTAACGATGATAACGGTACATATTCTTGCGTTGCTGAAAACTCAGCAGGTCGGGTCAGAGCAAATTATACATTAAAAATACTTATAAAAGAAGAACCAGTCGTTATTGTAGTAACGTTTCCACATAGGCACCTGGTTGTTGTAATAACGATAATATTTTTAATCATTGTTTTATTAATAGCAATTATAGCAGTCGTGCTTTTGAAATTTAAGACGGACACAAGAAGTAGAAAGAAAAAAGAGAGTGGTAAGGATGTAGCATTGTGCAATCAAATGCTTCCATCCACTAGAAACAATGGCTCGCTTCCAAAAAACAATGGGAGTTTAATAGTCAACGCTCATTCACACCACGCTTTGCACTACACAGTGCAAACAAATCGTGATTACGATTCCAGCAATATGTATCAAAGCAATAATATAAAAGTCTTTGCCGATAGAAATCCTGATCTCATTAGTGATGCAGAAACTGTAGCTAATAACGCCCAAAATGAGAACACAGTGCTATCTGTGTATAAAAAGCAGACAGGAAACGATACTTTTGAAGAAGAAACTACATTTGCTACGCCTTCGATACCACGCCAAGTCACATGGCAAGATCAGCAAGTAATAAACAATATGAGTATTCCCCAAAATGCCATGTATCAACATTCAGCCGATGTTCATCTAAATCCGGGTTGCTTTTTAGATAACGAGGGGTATCCATACGATTACGGTCTTCCGAAACATCCTTGTCGTACACCTATTATGTCAAACTATTCTGTAATAGGCCCCTTTTACCAGACGCTACCCCATAACAGACCTAAAGGTCAAAAACTTGCGTGCAAGTTTGCCAAGGACAATGAATTTAATACGACTGCATCAACCTGCCCTAATTTCGAGGTGCTGAATGCAAACAACGTGAGGCGTACTTTAGAAGGATATCCAGTGCCAAGGAATCGGCAAATAGCTTTCGTGGGAAACGGTACAGTTTATTATAATGAAGAGTTTGTTCCATCGCCTCCTGAGGGTTATAAAACGGAACCTGTGCAGTGTTGTCCTCAGGAGGCGTGCCCTTCGTGGGTTAGTCCAAAGGGAACATGTGCCGTGATGGTTCCTTTAGGGGTTGCTGAAGCTCCTGGCAGATGTTATCAGGTCGAAACTAGGTGTGTTGATACCCAGACAAGTGATGCTCGACTTCCAGTAGACAATAGTGAAGGTGTTCTCAAACCACTGCCACAAGTATCTAACGCTAAATGTGCATCCGATATCTGTTCCGAAAGCCCAGACGAGGGCTATGTGGGGGATGCAAACGATATGTGACGACGTCGTCATAATAAAACGTAAAAGCGACAATTTAGACATTAATAGAGTGATAAAGCGACTGAGTAAAAATATAGAATAGACCTAAACATAGATTAAGCAAGTGTCGATACTTTTGTTACCTCAATGTACAGTGCACAATCAGTTAAGATTATTGTTTCTCGACGAATATTGTTATTTATTTCATTACAAATAAAATATTATTGATTTTAATTTTATATAACAGTAGCTATGACGTTTTTCACCGAGTGTGATGCAACATTTTGTATACTTTTTATGAATCAAAATTATTATGTTAGTTTCATCTTAAATTATTCTAAATTTAACACGAAATTCAATATTTTGAAAAAAAAAATAATCAGAATTGTGTTTACAATTCCTCGACTTGTTTTACCTTGAAAATACGAGATGTATTTGTCATGTGAATAAGCAATAAATTTTATATTTTGTGGCTTGTATATAAATGATAGGTGAATTTGTTTTAATACCTTTGATGAGATTTTATTTCCTATGATAACTTTTATATATATCATTAATCAATGTTTCCTTTTGTTTTCCTTAATAATGTGCCAAGTATAGACATAGGTTTTTTAAAGCTTTGTGAATTGTAATTTTCGAATTTCATTTGAATAGCACAAATAAATTTAACGTGAACGAATGAAAATTGGATCGTATTTTGATATCTCTAAATATTAAGATAGCTGATTCTATGGATATGTATCAATTTTAGTTTAAATTTAAACTAGTGTGCTCGACACGTTGACCCTTTCAGTATTAAAGATAGTATTTATTATTTTTATCTTGGGAAACGAAGATATCCTTGATAATTTCGATATTATCTGAATAATTAGGCTATAGTCAAATATTTTTATTTTTCTAATAATCCCTAGTTGAGTTTAATGAACTCTTATTAATATACATATATCATTGCCTTAACAGAATTCTTTGATTCGCTCGTAAAAACTATATTGTAAGTTACAATAAGCTCCCTTTTCCCACTAGTCTGTAAAAATATGTACATTATGTATATATACTAGTGACAGTTCCCTGGAGAACGGTTTAGCGAATAATTTTAACTTTATTGATAAATAATCAGGGTATCTCCCTAAATTTTACTAGAGCATTTCACTTGCATTTATTTCGCAATTAATATCCGCTGATATTTTATACTATTATAGATTTTTTCCTACACTTTTTACATACTTGTGTTTCCTTCTATCCCTATACACGTGTTTAGCTGCAAATCTTATTGTGAACACGTAAAGTTCATCGATATTCGAATCAATCCCTAGTCACGCTTTGAGTAAATTGAAAACGCTAACTAAGTAGCAGTATTTCATAAACTTAACAAGTACAACAAACTAACTTTGGCACTTGTATCCGACAAGATACGTAATACCACTCGCCAAAAGTTTCCATTTGGCACACCGCTGCATTGTACACGCGATCCATTACTCCTTCGCAGCTCCACCCTGCTTACTCCAGTTCTTTATTTGCCGGAGGGTTTCCGGAATAAATGCGAATGAAATGCAGGCACAGGGAAACATAACAATACGAGACACGTCTTTTTGTAAGCGAATGTAACGATTTCATTCTTTTTACCACGGTACGGGGTAGCAATAATAAATTCTATTTGTAAAGTGAAATTTCACGTAGGACTCCTATGGTTCCTGGTCGGTACATTTAGAATTATGACACTGATATAGTATGGTTAGGATCACACAGTTCTTTAGATAGACAGTTCATTACGTACTGAGGAGACAGTGGAACTGCATCCTTTTGTATTGTTGTAAACACGCGAAGGTTATCGTCTACTATAATTGGCAAGACTCAGATAATCAAACTTTGTAAAGATTAAACCAATGACACAGTTTTTTTAAACGCAAGATTTAATTTCCGGCATAAAATTAAGTTTATATATTTTTTTTTATCTGTGATTTTTATGTGGTTAACGGCGTTAAAAAGTCGTTAACATTTACCGCACCAGACGAAATATTAAATTATAATATTTACACTACACGAATGTTTTATGTGATGCTGTTCTACTTCTCCAAACGAGCCTGTGGTTTGTCCAACATATTGTGTGTTTGAAGTTTACTATGCTTGTTTCTATTGCCAGCCGAGTCTTGTTTAGGACAATATTATAAACCAATTGAAAGGATTTGTCTTATATTTATAATACATAATACTACATCAGTGTGAAATACTTTAAAATCTGTTAGTTACTAAAACATGTCAGGTATAAAAGTTTAAAAGTAGATTAAGAAGGAAATTTCATTACACTATCATGATACCTGCGTATTGTAAATTTGTTTTTTACCTGAAATAATAAATAAACTCGAATCTAAATTTTGTATACAGCAGACTGGATAGATTTTCTCGAAATTAATAGCACAATGATATCACCACGTAAACCTCTAGTGGAAACAATTGTAGATGTGCATGAATTTGGAATAAAAATGTATTTTTATGATGGCATTTTTTATTTTAATTATATATTCAATTCATTACACTATGATATCATAATATTACTCCCTTCAGTTGAGGAGATTTACGTGGATAAGATGTCCGTGAATCCTGTATTATCTGCAGGTCTTAGACCCAGGTGAGAAGTGTTTGTGTACGCATCATAGCGAATATTTCGTAAAATATGGACGAGAAGAAACGTACACATATGGGCATGTAATTCTTAAAATTGTTTAAATAGTACCTTTGCTTAACTTATTATGAATATTTTGTCGTATTTATAATTGCATATCGACGGCTTCTATATCTTCTTCTTTGTCTATGTGAACTGAGAAATTAATTCAAATATGTTATAAAACGATTCATCCACATCCTTATTTAAAAGTAACGTACGGAGCTAATATGTGCTTACTATTTGTGTACGAGTGTAACCTATCTCGTATCGATCGTATCGTCTATTCGATACGAAGAGGGGCTTCCGATGCAGAGAAGTAACAACTGAGCGTTTCTACGTTAACTAATGGCGTGTTAATATCTCAATCAGATAAGTTAAAATTTGTGATACTATTAAATGATTGTAATATGGAAAGAGAGAATAAAAGTTTAAAGACATTTTTCCAAAATGTCTTTAAACTTTTAAAAAAGATGTACCTAATTGATTCAAGTAAATTTAAAAAGAAATAAAAAATAAGTAAAGAGCTTAAGAGAGTCTAAGGATGTTAGGGAGTTGATAGCTCGACGCATGAAGTATTCGTCAGAAGACTTCAGGGCAAACGCTGCTAACTGCTACACGCCAACTGCTGCATGCAGCTAATAACCCTACTAATACAAGAAGGTAATTTATTGATAACATAAATAATCACCAAAGTCTAGATCATAATTTTAAGAATAGAATGCAAAACATCAAAGCATCAACACTTTATGCTATAACATTATAACTGTTCCTAACATAGGTGTGTAAAGTTGAAAGGTAAAACTCTTGTAGGCGACGCGTTACAATTTAATTTTATATAGTTAAGTTATACGTTATATTTTATATTAATTTAGTTTATTATTTTTGTGTTTTTTTTTATTATAACGTAATCTGTATTTTTGTGTTTATATTTCCAATTTATATAGCAACTGAGAGCGAGCGCGTTGACGTTACATTATGAATTTAAAATAAATATGGGTACTTTCTGTCATACGTGCTTCTTCTTTTTCCGTTCGCGCGCGCTGCTAACGTTCACTGTGTCCACGTAATTATCCTGGGTTTAAATTGTATTTGTACTTTGTTGCAAATAAAGAGCTGTTAACCTCAGTGCACCGAATTTTAGTGCGAAACTCCCTTACAACTCTCAAGTACACATTGAAGGTTTATTTATGATTCGATTTTTCGATTTTCTCTGGGTCCTTAAGTTCTAATAAAATTCGATAACGTGTATTTTATTTGCTATTGAACCGACTTTGAGCATGTATATTGCATTACAGTCTAGCGATCGATACTTCGTCTGCCGAGTTTCTTCCAGTCTACTGGCATCCTGGCGTTAACTAGTGATGATTGTATGCATCTCATTAACTATATCTGGATAACCTGATATAAATTGAAACTTACGTGTGAATTTCTAGCTAATATTAACAATTATGAATAACTGAGATAGTTTTACAAGACTTTTTTCTTTATTTAAAACCAAACCGTACAATTGATTACTTTCGCATTTTATCTTATTTGCAATATAATAAGTTTTGTACAAACATAAGCATTCTAAATAAATGTAACAAATTGTATGCAAGATTTTTTTAAGTGATAATGTGGCGAGCGAAAGTTACGTTTTAATACAGTGGCCACCTGACAGTAAGAGACTACCGGGCAAGTGAACAGTCGGTTCGACCGATGCCATCTGTACCCAAAGATATTTGCAACACCTAAGATGTTGCAGATGCATTGCCAACCAACTACAATGGAAAAACTTTTAGATGAATTCCCGAAGCACATACCAAATCTACACATACAATACAAATCTTGTCGCCAGTACCTTCAGTACCTGCTACCGCGTGGAATTTAAAATCGGGTAAACCACCTATTCGCTCTGTTTTTTTAACCGACTTCAAAAAAGGAGGAGGTTTCTCAAATCGATCGTATATATTTTTTTTATTTGTGTCCGTGGATAATTTCGTCGCTTAAGAAACGATTTTGATGATTTTTTTTTATCAGAATGGAGATATCCCTAGGGTGGTACCATGATAAGGAAACCCGGATTTGATGACTGCATTCCAGAGAAATCGAGGGCAATCATTGAATGTTATAGGTATTAACGATATTTTTAATTTTCTGATTGAAGTCGGTTTTTTTTTGTTAAAAATTAAACTTGTCAAATTCAAAAATTACATAAGAAAAATTCTGTTCACGTTTCGCGGAAAAGCTATATTGATTATTTTTACCTTTTCCGTTTACCATTATATAAAGCGGTTATAGCTCTTATATACCCTTATAGCAGAACCCTCGCATTTAATAATAAATGAAGAATTTTCTGAGCGTGTTTATGTTATAT